TGTTTTGTTGTTCTATGTAATATACATAGTGTTTTGTTGTTCTATGTAACATACATAGTGTTTTGTTGTTCTATGTAATATACATAGTGTTTTGTTGTTCTATGTAACATACATAGTGTTTTGTTGTTCTATGTAATATACATAGTGTTTTGTTGTTCTATGTAATATACATAGTGTTTTGTTGTTCTATGTAACATACATAGTGTTTTGTTGTTCTATGTAATATACATAGTGTTTTGTTGTTCTATGTAACATACATAGTGTTTTGTTGTTCTATGTAACATACATAGTGTTTTGCTGCTCTATGTAATATACATAGTGTTTTGTTGTTCTATGTAACATACATAGTGTTTTGTTGTTCTATGTAACATACATAGTGTTTTGTTGTTCTATGTAACATACATAGTGTTTTGTTGTTCTATGTAATATACATAGTGTTTTGTTGTTCTATGTAACATACATAGTGTTTTGTTGTTCTATGTAATATACATAGTGTTTTGCTGTTCTATGTAACATACATAGTGTTTTGTTGTTCTATGTAACATACATAGTGTTTTGTTGTTCTATGTAATATACATAGTGTTTTGTTGTTCTATGTAACAAACATAGTGTTTTGTTGTTCTATGTAATATACATAGTGTTTTGCTGTTCTATGTAACATACATAGTGTTTTGTTGTTCTATGTAACATACATAGTGTTTTGTTGTTCTATGTAATATACATAGTGTTTTGTTGTTCTATGTAACATACATAGTGTTTTGTTGTTCTATGTAATATACATAGTGTTTTGTTGTTCTATGTAATATACATAGTGTTTTGCTGTTCTATGTAACATACATAGTGTTTTGTTGTTCTATGTAACATACATAGTGTTTTGTTGTTCTATGTAACATACATAGTGTTTTGTTGTTCTATGTAATATACATAGTGTTTTGTTGTTCTATGTAATATACATAGTGTTTTGTTGTTCTATGTAATATACATAGTGTTTTGTTGTTCTATGTAATATACATAGTGTTTTGTTGTTCTATGTAATATACATAGTGTTTTGTTGTTCTATGTAATATACATAGTGTTTTGTTGTTCTATGTAATATACATAGTGTTTTGTTGTTCTATGTAATATACATAGTGTTTTGTTGTTCTATGTAATATACATAGTGTTTTGCTGTTCTATGTAACATACATAGTGTTTTGTTGTTCTATGTAATATACATAGTGTTTTGTTGTTCTATGTAACATACATAGTGTTTTGTTGGTGTTCCCGGGTTCCATTCTGAACACGGGTACAATGTGTGAAGCCCAGATCTGGTGTCCCCTGCCTTGATATTGCTGGAATATTGCTGAAAGCGGCGTGACACTCTACTCATTATAATGAAGAGTAATAAATGACAGATTTTGAATCACAGCTAATTTATACATAAATAGCATTTTGGGAGACTTGTTGATAAGAACAAAGGGTTCCAGAATATTTTGTGATAAACTCCTAGCTGCAACTTACTTTCCACTGCTGTGTGATAAATGGGAAATGAACTTAATAAAAGCATATTATGGAATAATGTTTTTACATTCAGTGCTTTATGGGAATGGAAATGAAACAAAATCTGTCAATTTAGATATTTTGAATTCGGTCCATATGTACATCCTGCGTTCTGGTAGAGTTGCACTGATGTTTTAACTCAAGACTTAATTCATATTTTAATATAAGTACGAAGTCAGATGACTTGTTTACCAATCCAGATTCATTTAATGAACAAAAATATGCTACAATCATAGTGTTTTTACTAACTGTAAAATGTGTACCGATGATTTTAAACTAATACATTTCCAGTACAGATTCATAAATAAAGCTCTATATACCAAAAAAGGAATCAATGAAAATGAAGTTAACTGATGATACATGATCTGTTTGTATCTCTGAATCTAAAAACGTATACCATGAATATGTAGAATGTGTTTTTGTAAAGGAATTTTGGTTAGATATTGAAGTGTACGTAAACTCGAAACTTGCATATGATATTCATATTACCAGTCAAGATAAACTATTTTGTTTCAACAAAAAAGAACTGTCTTTTCAACCATATAATTCCACTTGCGAAAAGATACATTCCCCAGTCAAGCATTAAGAAAGCTCCATTATACTTTCGCTTTCATAAAATTGTGGAAAACGTATGTAAAATAGATTTTTTTTATTGCAATGTAAATAGAAGTATCAACAGATTTGACAGAAAATAGAATGAATTATCAGCCAACTTATTATAATATATTAGTCAATCCAATATATGTATATTACCCACATCTTGATCTTGTTTTATGATCCTATGAATTGCTACACTTATGTTTACATATATATATATATATATATATATATATATCACTGAATTGAAATATAAATATTTTAACATCCTACATCATCAACTGTCACCTGCATTTATGTCAAAGACCAAGGTCACATTTGATGTTATTATGGAATATGGTGCAAAGAACATTGACATTCGAAGACATCAACAACCGACTTGTTCCACATTGGTCTGGGGAATTTTGGGGCACATGCAACATGTAATGCACTTTATTTAGGTGTTTACTATGTATGTCATTAGTCTTATACACCTATTTGGGGCAATCATATTCTGTTTCGAACGTCAGTGAAACTAGATATACTGATATAAGTACCGTTCTAAAATAATCTTATAATAATCTCATCAGGACCAAAGGCTCAGGTGAGCACATAGCCTATTTCTTTCAATTTATTTCCAGAGAGAGTATGGTCTTACGCTGCTTTTAGCAATATTCCAACAACATCGCGGTGTGTGACCAGCAATGGGCTTCAAACCAATGTGAGGATTCGATCCCGGGCCTTTGGCTTGACGAGTGAATGCTTCAACTACTAGGCTACTCCACCGCCCCTTTTTCTCAGAACAAACTGGAGTAAAAACATGAAATTTAGGGATAGCATCATACTAGAAGTGATATTTGTTTATTATATACTGTCATGATCAACATCTAAAAACAATATATATCGTTGAAAATGTCTTCTCCAAAAGTACTTCTCCAGAGACCTCAGCTTGCAGAGGATAAAATGACAAAATTACAACAGCTATCTGATACCCAGGCCGACATTATTTACTAGAAACAAAACATCAAGAAAATGTGCATCCGGATATCTTCTAGAAACCTTCCGGATACCTTCAGCAATCTTCAGTGTTCTTGCCAGTAACTTTCAAATATGTTTATGTGTTTCACACTTAATTGAACAAAATGCACCCCCCCCCCCCCCCCCCCCACCCCCCACCCCACACACACACCCCAAACTTTGAAAATTTGTTTTGAAGGTTTCCAGAAGGTATCCGGGACACTAGATACCAGATACGGATGCTGCTATGCTCAGTTCTTTTCTATTTGCTGATCTGGAGTGTCCAGAGTTTAGGTTTCGGCAAAGCTGAGGTGCATGCCTATTCATTCTGTCGCTCAAGAAGTGGGACAGTGCGTACTATCACTGCATGCACCACTGACTTCGCTACAGAACAGTGACGTTCACCAAACTAGGTTAAGCTTTTTAACAACCCATGCTTGTCGTAAGAGGCGACTAACGGGATCGGATGGTCAGGCTCGCTGACTTGGTTGATGCATATCATCCATCACAATTGCGTGGATCGATGCTCATGATATCAATCACTGGATTGTCTGGTCCAGACACGATTATTTACAGAGCGCCGTCATATAGCTGGAATATTACCAAGTGCGGCGTTAAACAACCAACCAACCAACCAACCAACCAATCAAACCAGGTTAACATACTTTTGGTGTATCCGTTTATAGATAGATGAAGCAAGGCTATGTGAGGGATTTATTTCCGGACTCCACACTGCTGATGACAGGGCTGGCAAGAAGGCAGACAATGTCAGATATTGGCTGTTCTGTAAGAAGCGGGGGCACGGGTGACCCAGTCGTCTAAGGCGCCGCAATTCGCTGTGCAGAGTTGCGTCCCTTGGGCACGCCAGAAACCTATGACTGTGGGTTCGAATCCCGGCTCGCTCCGATTATGTTTCTTGGTGTGTCAGCACCATACCCGTGCTTGTTGGTTTCGCCGAAGTGGTAAACGTCTGAGACCTGCATCACTTCGGGCTTTCCTCCCACATTAAGCTGACACGCCGTGATGTAACTGGAATACTGTTAAAAGCGGCGTTAAACAACTCACTGTAAGAAGCGGCTCAACAACGAAAGGTTACACCGGCCTCAAACTGCCTTATTCAGCACTTGCAGCGAGCAAACTACCAATCCTATGTTTGGTGAGGGGCACTGCAAGCCATGCACGATCGTCCAACTGTTGATGGTGATTGTTTAACTTGGAAGACCAAAGACGATGTTATTCAGACTGAGTTGATGTCAAAGCACCCAGCACCCAAAAGGTCTGTTAGATTTGACATCTTGCAAACGTTTAGCCTGCCGTACAAACCGCCGTATTGCGTTGTGCAATTTATGTCATGAGACGATCTTGTCCAGGTGTCGCTTTTAGGCCTGCCACGCCCTGGTCTCATTGCAGCACTTCCGTTTGATGGTACTTGTCCCACTGTCGATAAATTACATCTTAAAGATCTTAAAGATATACTTTATCTGTTCAATGAGCTCATTCTTCGGAGGCAGTTTATCCCCTGGATGCCAGAGGGACATATAAGTCCCTCCTCTTCAACCCTCACTATGAAGTCGGATAAAAATGCATGTGGGTAATCCAACTCTCGTCTTCGACATGACGAGCGAACGCTTTAACCATAAGGCTACCCCAAGGCGTTAGAACGATTAGAGCAATGGATGTATGACAAACCAGCTTTGTTGCAGACTGTCATATTCAGTTATACGGGGACTTAAACGCCCGAGTCGGCTATGGAAATCAGCCTCCCGTTTCTGTACATATGAAACAATACAAATATTTTTTCCCCAGATGAACCCGTGCCTTTTTTATCAATAGCCGATATTCAAGCGATAGACTCACCATGTGTTGGTATGGGGTTTGACTCACCAAGTGTTGGTATGGGGTTTGACTCACCAAGTGATGGTATGGGGTTTGACTCACCAAGTGATGGTACGGGCTTTGACTCACCAAGTGATGGTATGGGGTTTGACTCACCAAGTGATGGTATGGGGTTTGACTCTCCAAGTGATGGTACGGGCTTTGACTCACCAAGTGATGGTATGGGGTTTGACTCACCAAGTGTTGGTACGGGGTTTGACTCACCAAGTGTTGGTATGGGGTTTGACTCACCAAGTGATGGTACGGGCTTTGACTCACCAAGTGTTGGTACGGGGTTTGACTCACCAAGTGTTGGTACGGGCTTTGACTCACCAAGTGATGGTATGGGGTTTGACTCACCAAGTGTTGGCAATGGGTTTGACTCACCAAGTGTTGGTATGGGGTTTGACTCACCAAGTGATGGTATGGGCTTTGACTCACCAAGTGATGGTATGGGCTTTGACTCACCAAGTGTTGGTACGGGGTTTGACTCACCAAGTGTTGGTATTGGGTTTGACTCACCATGTGTTTGCAAGGTTACCCATAGGAAGCCTCCTTGTAATATCATTGATTATATTCAACAACTAGGACGAGGTGGTAGACAGGGGCAGAGTGCAGTACTGGGTGTACATTATAAAGATATTGCCAAGATGTACCTCACATTGAAGAAAACATAATACATTACTGTCCTTCGAAAAACTGCTTAAGGCTTGAAACGTTGAAGGTGTTTGGACTTGAGAGGCTGTGGCTTCTCTTGATAAATGTAGATGTTGTTCCAACTGTGCAATACAATGTCAGTGTGAGCTGTGCACAGAGGAATAAATGAAGCCAAGAACTTTTTTTTACCTATTACTCAACCATGAAGATATTTTATGACATACACCCATTAATCAATGTGCAATGTAGACAATAAAAATCTCATTAATCAGTTTAACTTGTTATGTGTATTTATTTGGTACAATTACAGTACTTATTAACATATTGAGAGTACTCATTATTGAGAGTACTTACTATATTGAGAGTACTTATTAGAGAGTACTCATTAACATTAACCTATTCATAATCTGATGCTTGATATTCAACTTAAGTAGTTCAGGTTGTCCAAAAAAAATAAAAATAAATAAAAAATAAAATAAAATATCAATCAATCAAAAAGGCGCTGTGAATAAGTGCTCATAAGTTCTACAAGGACTTCTCAAATAAAGGTGAAAAAAGAGAAGTAAGATTTGGAAACATTCAATCACTTTATTTACCAGCTTGGTCAGTCATTGTTTTGTATCTCTGGATTCCTTGCCACATTTACAATTCACATATGCATCACATGTGTACATTCACAAGTGCGAAAATATCATATAATTTATAATATGAATCAGTATAATGTATTATTGATGGACAGCAACAATTCATCTGAAAAAAGACATTCTTGCTATTGTAGATAAACTTGAGTATTATGTGCTGTTGTATTTATACCAGTTTGGTTGATTAAAACTCACATTGTATTTATTTCAACCTTAATTTCGATTAATAGGTAAATATAGTTCAAATAAAGTTTGAAAATACCAGTCGCTCATGGCACACATGCAATTTCACTGTCAGCTGTATCTATATCCTCCATTTACCCTTCAAAGTGTGTATTATCAACTGACCAACCATTTCTCACTGAAACAATACTCACACCTAAACTAAGTAATTGTTCCACTGACTTATGTAAATGCACCATTTGGTTCAGTTGATGAAATTGAGACAGTGATCATAAGAAAAGTGGCCCATAGGGCCTGTATCGCTCACCTGGTTATGAACGCAATGACAAAATATACACTTGCATTGTACATGTATACAAGAGGCTGACAGTGCCTGTATCGCTCACCTGGATATTAACACAATCATGACAAAATATACACTTGCATTGTACATGTATACAAGAGGCCCATAGGGCCTGTATCGACCACCCGGATATTAAAGCAATCATGGCAAAATAGACACTTGCATTGTACATGTATACAAGAGGCCCATGGGGCCTGTATCGCTCACCTGGATATTAAAGCAATCTTTGCAAAATATACACTTGCATTGTACATGTATACAAGAAGCTCAAAGGGCCTGTATCGCTCACCTGGATATGAAAGATATCATGGCAAAATATACACTTGCATTGTTCATGTATACAAGAGGCTCAAAGGAGCCTGTTTCGCTCGCCTGAATATGAACGCAATCATGACAAATATACGCTTGGATTGTATATGTATACAAGAGGCTCACAGGGCCTGTATCGGTCACCTGGATATGAACGCAATCATGGGGAAAAAATGCGCTTGCGTTGTACATGTATACAAGAGGCCCATAGGGCCTGTATCGATCACCTGGATATTAACACAATCATGACAGAATAAACACTAGCATTATACATGTATACTAGAGGCCCACAGGGCCTGTATCGATCACACGGATATTAAAGCAATCATGGCAAAATATACACTTGCATTGTACATGTATACAAGAGGCTCACAGGGCCTGTATAGCACACCTGGATATTAACGCAAACATAGCAAAATATACACTCGCATTGTACATGTATACAAATGGCTCACAGGGCCTGTATCGCTCACCCGGATATTAAAGCAATGATAAAATATACACTCGCATTGTACATGTATACAAGAGGCCCATAGAGCGTATATCGCTCACCTGGATATAAAAGCAATCATGGCCAAATGTACACTTCCATTGTACATGTATACAAGAGACCCAGAGGGCCTGTATCGCTCACCTGGATATTAAAGCAATCTTTGCAAAATATACACTTGCATTGTACATGTATACAAGAGGCCAGTAGGGACTGTAACGCTCGCCTCGATATGAACGCAATGAACAATGAACACCTGCATTGTATATGTATACAAGAAGCTCAAAGGGCCTGTATCGCTCACCTGGATATTAACGCAAACATAGCAAAATATACACTCGCATTGTACATGTATACAAAAGGCCCATATGGCTTGTATCGATAACCCGGATATTAATGCAATCATGGCAAAATATACACTTGCATTGTACATCTATACAAGAGGCCCATAGGGCCTGTATCTCTCACCTGAATATTAAAGAAATCATGGCAAAATGTACACTTGCATTCTACATGTATACAAGAGGCTCAAAGGAGCCCGTTTCACTCGCCTGAATATGAACGCAATCATGTGAAAAAATACGCTTGCGTTGTACATGTATACAAGAGGCCAAAGGGGCCTGTATCGCTCGCCTGGATAATTACGCAATGACAAAATACACTTGCATTGTACATGTATACAAGAGGCCCATAGGGCCTGTATCGATCACCTGGATATTAACACAATCATGACAAAATAAACACTAGCATTAAACATGTATACAAGAGGCCCACAGGGCCTGTATCGATCACCTGGATATTAAAGCAATCATGACAAAATATACACTTGCATTGTACATGTATACAAGAGGCTCACAGGGCCTGTTTCGCACACCTGGATATTAACGCAAACATAGCAAAATATACACTCGCATTGTACATGTATACAAGAGGCTCATAGGGCCTGTATCGATCACCTGGATATTAAAGCAATCATGACAAAATATACACTTGCATTGTACATGTATACAAGAGGCTCACAGGGCCTGTTTCGCACACCTGGATATTAACGCAAACATAGCAAAATATACACTCGCATTGTACATGTATACAAGAGGCTCACAGGGCCTGTATCGCTCACCCGGATATTAACGCAATCATGGCAAAATATACGCTTGCATTGTACATGTATACAAGCGGCACACAGGGCCTGTATCGATCACCTGGATATTAAAGCAATGATAAAATATACACTTGCATTGTACATGTATACAAGAGGCCCATATAGCCTATATCGCTTACCTGGATATAAACCCAATCATGACAAAATAAACACTAGCATTGTACATGTATACAAGAGGCTCACAGGGCCTGTATCGCTCACCTGGATATGAACGAAATGATAAAATATACACTTGCATTGTACATGTATACAACAGGCTCACAGGGCCTGTATCGCTCACCTGGATATTAACACAATCATGACAAAATATACACTTGCATTGTACATGTATACAAGAGGCCCATACGGCCTGTATCGCTCACCTGGATATTAACACAATCATGACAAAATATACACTTGCATTGTACATGTATACAAGAGGCCCATACGGCCTGTATCGCTCACCTGGATATTAACACAATCATGACAAAATATACACTTGCATTGTACATGTATACAAGAGGCCCATAGGGCTTGTATCGCTCACCTGGATATTAACACAATCATGGCAAATTATACACTTGCATTGTACATGTATACAAGAGGCCAAAGGGCCTGTATCGCTCGCCTGGATAATTACGCAATGACAAAATATACACTTGCATTGAACATGTATACAAGAGGCCCATAGGGCCTGTATCGATCACCTAGATATTAACGCAATCATGGCAAAATATACCCTTGCATTGTACATCTATACAAGAGGCCCATAGGGCCTGTATCTCTCACCTGAATATTAAAGAAATCATGGCAAAATGTAGACTTGCATTCTACATGTATACAAGAGGCTCAAAGGGCCTGTATCGATCACCTAGATATTAACGCAATCATGGCAAAATATACACTTGCATTGTACATGTATACAAGAGGCCCATACGGCCTGTATCGCTCACCTGGATATTAACACAATCATCACAAAATATACACTTGCATTGTACATGTATACAAGAGGCCCATAGGGCTTGTATCGCTCACCTGGATATTAACACAATCATGGCAAATTATACACTTGCATTGTACATGTATACTAGAGGCCCATAGGGCCTGTATCGATCTACTGGATCTGAACGCGATCATGGAAAATATACACTTGCATTGTACATCTATACAAGAGGCCCTGTATCGCTCACCTGGATGTAAAAGCAATCATGGCACAATACACACTTGCATTGTACATGTATACAAGAGGCTCAGAGGGCCTGTATCGCTCACCTGGATATTTAAGAAATCATGGCAAAATATACACTTGCATTGTACATGTATACAAGAGGCTCATAGGGCCTGTAACGCTCGTCTGAATATGAACGGATTAATGACAAATATCCGCTTGCATTGTATATGTATACAAGAGGCTCACAGGGCCTGTATCGCTCGCCTGGATAATTACGCAATGATTAAAAATATACACTTGCATTGTACATGTATACAAGAGGCCCATAGGGCCTGTATCGATCACCTGGATATTAACACAATCATGGCAAAATATACACTTGCATTGTACATGTATACAAGAGGCCAAAGGGCCTGTATCGCTCGCCTGGATAATTACGCAATGACAAAATATACACTTGCATTGAACATGTATACAAGAGGCCCATATCGATCACCTAGATATTAACGCAATCATGGCAAAATATACCCTTGCATTGTACATCTATATAAGAGGCCCATAGGGCCTGTATCTCTCACCTGAATATTAAAGAAATCATGGCAAAATGTACACTTGCATTCTACATGTATACAAGAGGCTCAAAGGAGCCTGTTTCACTCGCCTGAATATGAACGCAATCATGTGAAAAAATACGCTTGCGTTGTACATGTATACAAGAGGCCAAAGGGGCCTGTATCGCTCG